CCTACAGAATGGCTAAATTCAAATGGTGTTGCGTGGGGAAATAGAAACTCTCATATATTGCTGCTGGGAATGTGAGTTGGGAATACCTCTATGGAGAGCATTTTGGCAATGCATGTCAAAATTAAATATATACATATGTACATATTCTTCATCTCAGCAATTCCACATCTCTACATTTACCCTATAAATAGGCTTGCACTTGCAAAATCATATGTGCACAAGGATAGTCATTGCAACACATATCTAATCCTAAAATATTGTAAACAACCTAAATGTCCATGAAAAAGGAACTGTTTAAATAACCTATGGTACATCAGTACAATGGAATGTTATGTAGACATTGGGATGACTGAGATAGTGCTATATTTACTAACATAACAAATGTTAAGAAGAAAAGCAAGATGTAGAATAAACAGCTTATATTGTATGCTACCATTTCTCTTTTTAGTTTTATATTTAGAGATGGGGTCTTGCTATGTTGCCCAGGCTGGAGTATGATAGCTATTCACAGGCATGATCATAGTATGCAACAGCCTCAGCCTCAAACTACTGGCCTCAAATGATCCCTTTTCCTCAGCTTCCCTAATAGTGGGGTCTACAGGCTAATGCCACTGTGTCCAGCTTGTTGTCTATATTTTTTAAAGAACATCTATGTATTTTATCTTAAATAGCAAATATATATTAAGTATTAACATATATTTATATATACACACACAAAGATTTTTATATTTATATATGTATATACACAAAGATGTATATATTAATATATACATACACACATATTTGTGCCAGGATTTAGTAGTGCCTTCTTTTAAGTACTCAATAAATGTTCTTAACTGAGTAGATGTACTTTTCCTCATGTTTTGCTACTCTCATTCCATTTTAATTAATTAATTAATTAATTTTAGAGACAGGATCTCACTCTGTCACCCATGTTGGAGTGCAGTGGCCCGATCACAGCTCACTGAAGCCTTGAACTCCTGGGCTCAAGCAATCCTCCCATGTCGGCCTCCTGAGTAGCTTGGATTACAGGTGCTACCATGCCCAACTAAGTTTCTAAATTTTTTGTAGAGACAGAGCCTCACTATGTTGCCCAGGCTGGCCTCATACTTTTTGCCTCAAGTGATCCTCCCATCTGGACCTCTCCGAGCTCTGGGATCATAGGCATGGCCACTATGCCTGGCCACAGTTTTCTTTTATTCTTGTGTTTCCTCTACCACGCCCCAGTCTTCTCCTGGGTCTCTGGTTCTCAGCCATCTACTCTCTTCCTGCTACCATCTAGAATAAGAACCTGCATATGTCATTTTGAATCCAGGCAAAATTGTGACCCCTGCTTTGGCATCTGATAGACACAAATGAGTTTAGTTTCTGGCTGTCACTTACAGGTGGTGTAAACTTTTCACAACTTCTGAACCTCAGTTTTCTCTTTCATAAGATAGAGATAAGAATGCCTACTTGGGCTGGGCATGGTGGCTCATACCTATAATCCCAGCACTTTGGGAAGCCAAGGCGGGCTGATCACCTGAGGTCAGGAGTTCAAGACCAGCCTGGTCAACATGGTGAAACCCTGTCTCTATGAAAAATACAAAAATTAGCTAGGTGTGGTGGCACACACCTGTAATCCCAGCTACTCGGGAGGCTGAGGTAGGAGAATCACTGGAACCCGGGAGAAGGAGGTTGCAGTGAGCAGAGATGGTGCTGCTGCACTCCAGCCTGGGAGACAGAGCCAGACTCCATTTCCAAAAAAGAATGCCTACTTGGTAGAATTATTGTGAGACTTAAAAACACATACATACATACATATGTGTATATATGTATATATTTATATATGTATATATAAAGTCTCACAATAATTAAGTGCCTTAAAATATTAAGTGTCTTAAAAAATGTATCCAGTCCAGAGCTTATACATGTAAATGCGCAATGAGCAATAATAGTTAATTTATTCTCAAAGAGATCAATACAGTTAATTCACTCTCAGAGGCTTAAGCAGTCACCTATCAAAATTGTTTGAATTCTTCCATCACAGTAGAGCATAAATAATTAATAATAGTACAAAGAGCATTTTTATTTTAGCAGAAGTTAAAGCATTAGGGTCAATGGAATAAAGCTCAAATGAACAGAGTTTAAATATTAACTAAAAGAATTTGTTTGTTTTGGGGGATGGAGCAGTTCAAGAGTGGCTTGGTCAGGGACTTGGAAACAGGAAGTAGCTCAGGAGTTCCCTTGGTTGTAGCACTATGAGACTGTTTAAGTTAAATATTGTTAATTAAGGCCTTGCACCCCAACGGAGAAAAGACAATGTGGATTATAAGTGGCTGTGTGTTAGCAAAACTACCTTTCGAGAATTTCTAAAATCTCTTAGGGTTTCAGAATCTATCCTGAGGTTAGAATCTTGAGAACTTCATATTTTGGGAAATCTCCCTTACTGCCTCTCCTGACTGCTAGCTGCTATCATTTTATGTTTATTTATTACTGACTGATTGATTGAGACAGGGTCTCACTCTGTTGCCCCGGCTAGAGTGAGTGGTGCAAACACAGCAGCCTCTACCCCTTGGGCTCAGGTGATCCTTCCACTTCAGCTTCCTGAGTAGCTGGGACCACAGGCTTATGCCACCACTCTCTGCTAATTTTTTAAATTGCTATAGAGATGGGGTCTTATCATGTTATCCAGGCTGGTCTTAAACTCCTGAACTCAGTTGATACTCTCACCTTGGCCTCCCAAAGTGTTGGAATTATAAGCTTGAGCCACTGTGCCCATCCTGCTATCTTATTTATTTATTTATTTATTTTGAGACAGTCTCCCTTTGTTACCCAGGCTGGAGTGCAGTGGTGCAGTCTTGGCTCTCTGAAACCTCCTCCTCCCAGATTCAAGTGATTCTTGTGCCACAGCCTCCCAAATAGCTGGGATTACAAGGGCCTGCCATCACACTTGACTAATTTTTGTGTTTTTATTACAGGTGAGATTTCACCACGTTGGCCAGGCTGGTTTCGAACTCCTAACCGCAAGTGATCTGCCTGCAGTGGCCTCCCAAACTGTTGGGATTACAGGCGTAAGCCACCGCGCCCAGCCCCATCCTGCTATCTTTTAAATTATAGGCAAAGTACCTTTAAAATGCATATCAAATGCAGCCCTGAGAGGGACAGAATATTCCAGAAGAGCCAGAGATGCCCTAAACTAACTGAGGGAGATATTACCCAGTACACATTGCATTGGTGAAGAGAGCTGAAGAGATGGAAGAATTTGTCACTGTGTATAATAAAATACTTATTTTAGCATAAATGGTAGACATAGGCTACAGAGCTAAAATTGTTCTAACAAGTTGCATTTTGTTGACCTTTCAAACTAAATGCCCAGGGTACCCATCTTAATTCACTGCATCGTACAAATGATTCTTGATTCATATATTGCAGAGTTGGAGCAGGTTACTTCTAACAATACCTCCCAAGTCTGTGATTTGTAGAGTGCATAATTTTCTTCTAAGGTGATTAGAGCACTTTTTAGACATTGCCTAATAGAAGTCTTTGTACCAGTTTGAAAAGTCAGCAGTACTACAATTTTAGTTTTCCAGGTGTGAAATATGAAGATTAAACTATTGGGCCTGGGTCAGTGGCTCATGCCTGTAATCCCAGCACTTTGGGAGACTGACGGTGGGTAGATCACTTGAGTGCAGGAGTTTGAGACCAGCCTGGCCAATATGGTGAAAACCCGTCTCCGCTAAAAATACAAAAATTAGCTGGGCATGGTAGTGCATGCCTGTAGTCCCAGCTACTTGGAACTTGGAAGGCTGAGACAGGAAAATCGCTTGAACCCACAAGGCAGAGGTTGAAATGAGCCAAGATCCTACCACTGCACTCCAGCCTGGGTGACACAGAGAGACTCTGTCTCAAACAAAACAAAACAAAAAAACAAAACAAAACAAAACAAAAAACGGTTTAGGCTATTGAAGCCTGAGTATGGATTATTCTAGCTTCCAGATTCCAATAAGCATCTTGTAAAGATGAAGATCTCTAAATACAGAGAATGCAAGCAGTGTGCCTAACTTTGCTTAGAAAGTGCTGACAGGAGCGAGGAGTTTCACTAGCATTTCCTGTCTCAAAAACAAGTTCTCCATTTCATATTCAATGACAGTAAAACAAGGATGAGAAACTGTTACAGTTTGTTCAAAAGCAGAAGCTAGAATCATTTCAAAGAAAGACAGGACAAAATTAAAACTGAAACTCCACTTCTACCTCTCTGTAGAAGCAGTGGAGTGTATCTCCTTGAGGCTTCTACTCCCTTGCTGCAAGTGAAATTTATTAACCGCAGAAGTGTCTTTCACTTGTGTCTTAAATGAAGGTGTATCTTACTGTTTTTGATACTAACCAAGTCATCTTCTGGGAACCAAAAATAGTTTTTGTGGCTTTATGAAAAGTCTGGCCTTTCCACGGCATGTGTATCCATTGACCTCACTTCTGAGAGCTTTAGGCTAATTTGGTAATTAGACTAATTTGCACCATTAATTAAAATGCTCTATGAAATAACCCAAATCCCAATGCAAAGAAGAACAGCGTGGTATACAGATGTTTGTTTTTTTATTAATTTAAAAACATTTAATAGTCTTCTTGGGTTCCAGAATCAGATTTTAAAAAATTAACCATCCCTAAAAAAACTCACAAAACCCACTTTTATCAGGAGGTTCCATTCATTCTTCATGACTGTGGTGGACCATCCATTATTTTAATACACTATAAAATTTCAAAGTTGGTGACAAAACAAGAAATAAAAATGGAGGGAATTCTCATGGCTTCATGGGTATTTAGTTAGGAAGGGTAATGTGGGGAAGCTGTCACACAGGAGGCAAAAAATTGCAGAGACTAAATATGTAAGGTATATTTATAGCTTCCTCAGCCATTCTCTTTGCCTAAAATGCCCTTTTCTTTTTTCTTTTTTAGACAGTCTCACTCTGTTGCCCAAGCTACAATGCAGTGGCACGATCTTGGCTCACTGCAACCTTCGCCACTGGGATTCAAGATTCTCGTACCTCAGCCTCCTGAGTAGCTGGGACTACAGGTGCACACCACCATGCATGGCTAATCTTTTTTTATTGTTAGTAGCGATGGGATTTCCCCATATTGGCCAGGCTGGTCTTAAAATCCTGACCTCAGGTGATCTGCCCGCTTCAACCTCCCAAAGTGCTGGGATTACAGGTGTGAGCCACTGCACCTGGTCCTCCTTTTCTTATTTCTAAGTGATATTCTCATTCATCAAGGCTCAATTCAAATATTACTTCCTGTCAGAAATTCTTTTGTCTCTATCCTCAAACCTCACATTTGCTGCTTTCTTACTTTTGTTTCTGTAGTCATTTCTTAACAGATCATATTATTGATTTTTAGTTTTGTAGTTTTATCCCCTAATAGGCTCTAATTTCCTTGAGAATATGAATCATTCATCCTTACCATTCTTACAATATACATATTGTCTAGTATACAGTAGATAAAGTTTGTTAAAGGGTACCAGTTTGGAATAAGGAGTTAGTAGCTGAAAATGACCTAAAATGCTCTCTACTTTCAAGTTATAAACCCACACATTCCTCTGTTTCTCTGTATGTGTCTGTCACTGCTTAGATGATACATGGTCTAACACCCCATCTATTAAGACATCTTCAAATGTCAGACTCCCATTTCTAACAGTACTACACAATTGTGTGTAATTTTAAACCTTTCAAACGTCTTTTGCATCAATCACTTTATTTAGCTCTTACAGTAATTCTATAAAGTTTGTGGATGAGAAAACAGAAACAACAAGCATCAATGACTTTGGACTACAGCTCAGGTCTTTTGAACCCTCGCTATAATTCCCTTTGGTCCAGAGCTTACAGTTTTTAAACTTTTTACTTTCAAATACTTTCAAACTTACAGAAAAGTTGCAAGAATAGTGCAAAGATCACCCATATACTTCACACAGATTCACTATTGTTAACATTTTACCACATTTGATTTCTTTCTCCCACCCTGCCCACATATATACAGGACCATTTGAAAGTGAGCTGCAGATGTCATGCTGCTTTACTCCTAAATACATCAGTGTGTATTTCTTAAGAACAAGCATATTCATCTATGTACTGTAGTAAAATGATCAAACCTAGGAAATTTGACATTGATATAATATTTTAATCAATACACCTAATACAAGTTTGCAAATTTTTCTAATTGTGTCTTTTATGAATTATGACTTTTTTTGCTGATTCAGAATTGAACAGAATCACACATAGCATTTACTTCTTATATCTTTTTAGTCTCCTTTAATCTGGAAGTGTCCATTACTCTTTTTATTTTGTGATACTGATATTTTTAAGAGTTCAGGGCATTTATTTTGTAGAAAGGAAATTAATTTGGGTTTGTTTAATGCTTTTGTATGACTCAATCCAGGTTATGCAAGTTAGCATGTAAAAATACCATGTAAGAATAATACTGTTTTCTTCTTAATACATCACGTTAGGAGGCATGTGATGTCAGTTTGTCCCAACACTGGTGATGTCCACCAGATTTCTCCACTATAAAGTTATTACTTTTCCATTTTTAGTGATGTTCAGAGTTTTTATTTAAAAAGAAAATCTAGGGCTAATTGTTGTGTAGGCACCTGGTGTGCCCCAACTCGTAGATTCTTGGACCTAATTTTACACCAATCATCACTGAGACCACTGTTCTTGGCTAGGTAAAAATCAACATCACTATTGACATTGATATAATATTTTAATCAATACACCTAATACAAGTTTGTAAATTTTTCTAATCATGTCTTTTATGAATTGTGACTCTTTTACTGGTTCAGAATTGAACAGGATCACACATAGCATTTTACTTCTTATATCTTTTTAGTCTCCTTTAATCTGGAAGTGTCCATTATTCAGCCTACACTTGCCTTTTCTTTTCTTTTTTCTCTTTTCTTAATTCTTCTTTTCTTTTCCTCTTTTTTTTTTTTTTTTTTTTTTGAGGTGGAGTCTTGCTGTGCTGCCCATGCTAGAGTGCACTCAGCCTCATGGGTTCAACTGATTCTCCCGCCTTAGCCTCCCAAGTAGCTGGGATTACAGGTACCTGCCATCAAGCCCAGCTAATTTTTTATTTTTAATAGAGACAGGGGTTTCACCATGTTGGCCAGGCTAGTGTCAAACTCCTGACCTCACGTGATCAGCCTGCCTCGGCCGCCCAAAATGCTGGGATTATAGATGTGAGCCACTGTGCCAGGCCACACTTGGCTTTTCTTAATTTCTGCCCCATTGCTAACTCTACAGGGCAACTGGGGTGTCTGTGGTGGGTAACAGATCTGCCTCACACATTGTATACGAGAGGTTAATATCATTAAGGCAAATCATGACCTATCAGGGACAGACCCCAGTGGATAAATGCCACCTTCTTCTATACCTTGTTTGCAGAATTTTGAGGCTCATTCTATATGGATCTTTAGAGGATTTTCAATGGATCATGATCTGTGGTCATGTTCAGCTTGAGACCTTCTTCCCCTGATACTGCTTGCCTTTCTTCCCTATTTTACTCTCTCCAGTCCATTCACTCCTTAAAACTTAGGATCATTTCCCAAAATAATCCCTTGCACATAAGCCCTTGTTTCATCTTTTTAAAAAGAGATCTATACTAATACAATTATACCTACTGTTAATAGAGTTAGTGGGTCCACAGTTAGTGGGTCAGGTAGGGGACAGATTAGAAGTTCGCAGTACAAATAGAGGAATGCATCTTTCTTAGATGCTGACCTAAGTAGACCTTCCTTCTTAACCCCCAAACAAAGACACAGTACTGGCCACATTAATGCCTCTGTAGGCTCTGATAATGACATTGACACTTCTCTCCAGTCGATGTTTCTTACCTTCCCTTTCCTTCTCCTCTTTTCTCTTCTCCTTTTTTTCCCTCCTTTCCCTTCCCTTCCCTTCTCTTCCCTTTCCTTTCCTTTCCTTTTCTTTCTCTTTTTGAGACAGGGTCTCACTCTGTTGTCCAGGCTGAAGTGTAGTGGTGCAGTCATGACTCACTGCAGCCTCAACTTACTGGGCTCAAGTGATTTTTCCACTTCAGCCTTCTGAGAAGCTGGGACTACAGGCATGTGCCACCATGCCTGGCTAATTTTTAAATTTTTTTGTAGAGAAAGGGTCTTGCTATGTTGCCAGGGTCAGTTTCAGACTCCTGGGTTCAAGTGATCCTCCCACCTTGGCCTCCCAAAGTGCTGGGATTATAGGAATGAGTCACTGTGCCCGACCCATGTTTCTTCTCAGCCTACTTCCACACCAGTGCAGTGCCTTCCAATCTGTAATCCCTGAGAGTATTGCAAGAGAATGGAAAGGGCTTAGTGAAAGTGATTGCTCTGCTTAAACTGCATGCATCTCTTCCCCCTGTTTCTCATCATCCTGCCCTTTAGCGCTCCTTTTTCTTTCCACTAATGATTTCCCTTTTGTCCTTGCCCATTTCTCTCTGATAGACAACTCATTTCCCTTTTGTCCTCTCTGATAGAAAATTTGACTCTGTGTATGTATGTTTCCTAGAAGAAAGCAGAACCATGATTAAACACCCAGTGAATAATTTGGGATGCTGATGAAATCAAGGAAGACTGGAAAAGCAACCTGCTGGGTGTGCTGTGGAGAGATTTCCTATACTGGGCAGAAGGTTAGATAAAAGATTCTCTGTGGTGTCTTCTATCTCTGGGAGTTTATGCTAGAAATGTCAACTTAATTAAATTGCAGCGCCTGTCAACAATCCAAGGGCAAAAGTTTGCTCCAGATCTACAATTCAGCCTCATTATCTTAGGGGGAATGTGACCGAGTATCATATAACACCACCAGTATGAAAAGAACGAAATCCACACAGCCTGCATAATTATAGGTGCAGAGAAGAAGAAATTGATGACACAATATTAAGGTTTATTTTTGCCACCTATAAACATGTCAACATCGTATTATCTCATTATCTCAGATTTTTATTCAATTCTATGACAGCTAAAGGTAACCACTACATCTGTCAATTAAAAAAAGATAAACTGGCGGGGCGTGGTGGCTCAAGCCTGTAATCCCAGCACTTTGGGAGGCCGAGACGGGTGGATCACAAGGTCAGGAGATCGAGACCATCCTGACAAACACGGTGAAACCCCGTCTCTACTAAAAAAAATACAAAAAACTAGCCGGGCGAGGTGGCGGGCGCCTGCAGTCCCAGCTACTCGGGAGGCTGAGGCAGGAGAATGGCATAAACCCGGGAGGCAGAGCTTGCAGTGAGCTGAGATCCGGCCACTGCACTCCAGCCTGGGTGACAGAGCGAGACTCCGTCTCAAAAAAAAAAAAAAAAAAAAAAAAAGAAAAGAAACTGCTTATTGAAATTTTAAAATTTGATCTATGACATGGAGTTGAACTGTAAGCACCTGCCAGTCTTCCTGAGCCTCCAGATAGTATTTTGCTGCAAATTAATTAATCTAACTACATCTTCTTGATTTTCTCACGCTGCATTAGAAAGTGTGTGCTCTTGGTCATAAACCATGATGAAACTATAATAACCATGTAATGAAACCTTATGGTTTGAGTTGTCTGGCTAGTCATAGAGATGAGTATAGTATAATTAAGCCACAGTCTCTCCTAGCAGTAATGAAGGCACTATTTTGGGGACTATGCCCAGGACAGGAGATAAGTTGTCTATGGCACTGGAACAGTCTACACTATCCAAGTAAGGTAACCAGCTAAGGCACTTTCAAAGTAAAACCAAACAGGAAGTCACGGCAGATAATGCCACTTTCATCACTGGTAATTACTGACTTTAGAGTTGTAATGAATGGCTGCTACAGAATAAAAGGTAGGTGGCAATTTATGCAACAGATCATTGTTCATCATCAGCAGTATGGGTGGCACTAAGCAATATGCAGAATTTTTTTTAAACCTGTGAGGTAAAATAGATTAAAGGTATTATTAATAGGCTAGGCCCAAAGGAGCAGTGTCTTAATTATGATCTCTTTTTCCGATCCTTTCTTAAAGATATTATATTTCTACAACTGATGAAGGACTAGATTAAGCTTAGGCTAGTAATAGAGGGAAGACTCATTGCTGCATTAAGATCAAAGAAACTTCCAAAATCTTGGTTGCTCCAAGCACCAGAAGTCAGTTGTCATTGTATTGGAAGCAATAGGGAAAGGGTAGCTCACAATTTTTTTTTTTTTTAAAGTATTTCTCAATCAGTCCACCATTTATTGGACCGGGCTAAAGTAAACTGCATAATTTTACAGAATCTCAAGTTTTTCAGGATATCTTGTTAACCAATGGGCTGACATTCTCTTTGCAGGAGCTCCACCAAGTGGTCATCCAGCTTGTGGGCGAAAGTCAGAAAAACAGATTAGGAATCCTTAGAAAGTCTGACTGTTAGCTGAGTAGAGCAGTCGGAAGGCAGATAAACGTGAACCCTCCATTCACAGAGAGATTCAGATACAGGCTTGATGTTTAGGCAAGACATCTGCTTTTCCCCACCATTTATTTTTGGTAACTTTCTTGTCCTTGTTTGAACTATGTCTGCCCTTTGACCTCATGACCCCATATGCTTTGAGCCCTCCATTTTCTCCTAATCAATTAGTCTCCTTCTGTCTTCCCATTTTCCCTGTTCAGCCCCACACACTGGTGTCCACTACTTAAATTATGCTATCAATATTACTTTCAACTCTTAATCCAGCCATCCTGTTTCTCTGACTCTGGAACTGAGCAGCTGAGAGTTCCTGGAGAAAAATCACACAGCCATACCAATTGATGTCACTGTATGTTGTTGCTTTTTGACCAAGGCTGAGTCCTCAGTTATGGTGAAGGTGCTTCTGATCAACTGACAGTGGGTATTCAAAACATTTCCCTTACTGTCAAAACCTCCAACTCTTCTTACACTCAGCAGATGATGATTCTGTCCATTTCATTGTGAAAAGCCAAGGGCACAAAGTGAAAACTGCACCTTCCTCTCCTTCTTACTTACATGCTTATTTATTGGCATTTGTACTTTTCCTTCCTGATGGAAAAGGTGCCTATCTAACTCGAGGCTCATTTCTCAACCTGTAGATTGGATTCCATCCTCTTCTGTGTACTCAATGACTTCATTATATCAATCATCTCTCTCTTTCCTGTTTTACTTCAGAAAATAAACAGAACAGTAGTTTGTCTTATTGAAAAATGAAAGCAAAAGTAAAATTACTTTGGCAGTTTTGGGTGTCTAATTAAAAGCCAAAGAAACAAATTGAGAACAACTTATGGAAAAAAATGGTATTCGTTGGAAATATACTGGTATAATGCAGAATAGAAGAAAATGCTAAACAGTCAAGCTTCCTGAGGGCAGAAAGCACAGGATCACTGAAATGAAACCGTGGACATTCATAATCATGTATGTTTACTAAGGTTCAACTACCTTTCCTCCTTGTGTCACCACTTAAGATTCAGCTCCTAGGAAGGAAACATTTGATTGGCCAAGCCCACCAGAAACATGTGCAGAGGAGATGCTCCTGATACCTGCACCACTGAATTCCATATGGCACAGTTCAGAGAACTTTGCTTTGTCCTTGTTTTGTTTGATGTATCTGTAGCAGTTCTTCTCCTTTTGGAGTCCTCCTTTGTTTTCTGTGGCATTATTCTTTCCTTAAAAAGAAAAAAGATAATTCTTTTTAGTCTCCATTGTAGGTCTCTTTTTTTCTGCTTAAACATTAAGTGTTATCTTCCTCATGGCTTCAACTTCGATCACTGTTACATTACAAACTTCCTCCTGACAAATCTTCCTTTTGAGTTTGCGATGGAACCTACAATTGAGTTTCCAATAAAATTCAGTGTATCTAAAATTGAACTTATGCATTTCAAACCTGCGCTTTACTTGAATGGCACATTTTCATAAATGGCATATCTCATATCCAGTCACCCAATCCACTTCCCTGGGAGTCTTCCTAGGTCACTCTCACTTATACTCAATCAATCCCTAACCCCCGTGGCTTCTAATTCCTTGGTATCTCTTGTTCTCCTCTTTCCTAAACTCATAACCATTTTTTAAATTAAGGTCTCAATGACTTCTCACCTAGATTGCCGCATTAGCTTCCTCAAAAGCAGGTTTCCTTACACGTCATACTCCCGTTTCTTACAGAGTGATCCTTCTAAAATGCTAATCTGCTCTGCAAACTTGGATTCAGTCCTTTATCTTTCAGGATAAACTTCAAGGCTTAACCCACGCATTCTGTCTTTGGCCACTTTCCAAGCTTCAGTGATGGCTACTTCCTTACTGCTATATTGTAAAACAAGCAGGTTTCCAGTTGGAGGGACTTAGAATTTTTTTTAACCTTGACTGAATGTAAGAATTTCTTGGGACATAATTAAACATGCAGATTCTTGGCCTGACCCTAAACATATTAAATTGGAATCTCTAGGAGTGGGGCTTATTTTTCTACTGACTTTTTTAATGTCTCTACTGATTTTTTTTTTTCCTTTTGAGACAGAGTTTTGCTCTTGTTGCCCAGGCTGGCGTGCAGTGGCATGATTTCGGCTCACTGCAACCTCCACCTCCTGGGTTCAAGTGATTCTCCTGTCTCAGCCTCCTGAGTAGCTGGGATTACAGGTGCCCACCACTACGCCCGGGTAATTTTTTTTATTTTTAGTTGAGATGGAGTTTCATCTTGTTGGCCAGGCTGGTATCAAACTCCTGACCTCAGGTGATCCACCTGCCTCGGTCTCCCAAAGTTCAGGGATTACAGGTGTGAGCCACTGCGCCTGCCAGTCTCTACTGATTTTTATGATCAAGCCAATTTGTGAATTAATGCTTGACTGTTTCTAGGACTCCTTGTACTTATGCTGTTTGTACTGCAATTTCCATCCCCCTTGTCCTTCAAAAGTTTACTTAGTGTCACTTAACAGGTAACTCCCATTCTTACTTAGAGGCCTCTTCTCTGTGTTCCTGTACCATGTAGGCCTATCTCTGTCATAGTATCCAACACATAATATTTGACTAACCTACCTATAACTGCTCTAAAAACTTATCTTTGTTTTCCTAGTACATAAAAGACAAATAGTAGGCATTTGGCAAAAATTGCTTTGATATGTAAAAACAAATGAAAAGCTCAATACACTTTTGCTGCTATGGATTCTTTCTGTTGCTTTATCTCTAAGGAGGTACTCATAAGATGAATATTGTTCAATTACTTAAAAACACCATTATTACTATGATTCCTTTAAAATCATATTATAGAAGAATATTTTTTGATATGTGAAAATATTATAATATGCTACTAAGGGAAAATAGGCTAAAATTTATATAATATGACTTTTTTGGTAAAAATTTTAAAACAAATTAAAAGCATATATAAAAACATATTGAGAAGACATGCAATGTAATTTTCTTACTCTTTGATTATGAAATAATGGGTGATTTTTGTATCTACTTTCTATCAGAAGTAGGTACATCTAAAACATTTTTTTATTTGCATAAATTTAAGGGCTACAAGTGCAGTGTTGCTACATGGATATTTTGGATAATGGTGGTGAAGTCTGGGGCTTTTTCTGTGACCATCTTCTGAATAACGTACATTGCACCTATTAAGCCACTTTTCATCCTTCACTCCCCTCCCACCTTCCCATCCTTCTGAGTCTCCAGTGTCTGTTACTCTACACTCTATGTCCAAGTGT